CACACCTTGGTCCCCGAAAAATGGTCACGGGGGCCCTGATTTTCACTATACTATATAGCATGAGGTTAAATGTGTCTTATAACTACAGCTACCATTGGTCCACTAGGAATATCCGTTAACTACTACAATCTTTATTTTGAATATTTAAGCCTTTGCATTATTATTATTATTATTATTATTATTATTATTAAATCGTATTCATTATGTTTTGTTAATGCATCCTTTACATACATTATAGCATGGCATGATAACTCTCTAAAAAAGATCCGGAATCCATTATATTTGTTTATTTTCGATATGGAATAATCAATTATTTTAATTATTTTATAAGTATAGTTAGATAATTATGTGCAAGATAGTATAATAAATAGTCTAAATATCAAAATGCACGCCATCGTATCGGGATTCAATATTTTGACATGAATTATGTCATCATCAGGAATTAAAAATTATCCATATTTGCAATCTTATATGCACAAGTACCTAAAGTGTTTGACCAATCAAAACATTACCCCTAGTAGGTGACATAGCTATGAATAAATCAAAGCTACCTACAAAAACAAAGAAACTTCCGTTGAAGCTTTCAGCCCAATTTTAAGCAATGGGTGTAGCCTACGTATAGCAAACGCTTCTTTAAACAATAGTATAGACCAATTTTGCGAACTGTCAATAATATTAGTACAGTATTAGAACATATTAAACCTAATTTATTACTTACATTACAGGCTACATTACCATTTTCAAGTATACCTTGTAAACCTAAAACATTATTGGAATGCCTCACAATTTTGTATATGATCATTTATAACACTATCAGATCATGAAGATATGTTATTTAAGTCTAGTTATTAAGCATCTATATGTATCTACCAATATAATCACTATTACAACCTGGACATTTAAAATGATAAACAACAGAGCTCCTATATTTCTTAGGGGTTTGATAATGTTATGAATTTTACCTCTTTAAGTGTTTCTTTATACTTTGTTTAAGCATCTACGTAAAATGGATTCACCAGCCTTTCCTAGATAAGGCAATCTAACCCAGATCTTAATCAAGCTATCATCAGTAGGGCTATGTATACATTTAGGTTCATTTAATTTATTGAGTACATGGTTAATAACTTTTATAGGGTACCCATTCCATGACATAAATTTTCTAATGTTACAAAATTCTGCTTGAAGTTTATCGGGAGTACACAGTTTGTTATTATGTGTATGTAATGTTTTTTTTTTTATATAAAATGTATAATACAATGTTGTTTTTTTATGTTATGTTTCTTTTAGATGACTTGATTTTGGAACTGATAAAACAAGCACGGTTCCCTGATAAAACTGATATGTTGATATTATTTTGGAGATTCTTCCATGATGTTGTATACGTTTTATTTTGACTTTTTGTTTTTGACAACACAATTTAATGACAAATGCAGTCATGCTGGTGTGTCCCTTAAAATATTATACTGTAGTAGATTTGTGGCAACTCCTATCTTCAATCTTCTCTTTTCAGGATTGTAATTTGATCAGTTTGAAATTTATCAAAAAGTATCAAAAAAGAACATGCCATTATTATCAAAGATCCATGTACATTTAGTAACGTACATTTTTGAAAAATGTACTTTAATCTTGAACTTGTTTATTTAAAATTTCCGTAAATGTTAAATGAGTCCAAGTAACTTTGTGCCATCTCGTAGCAAAGTTCATACTGATCCTGTTGCAAGAAAATGAAAAAAAAAATTATATTAAATATTAATTACTATCTTAAATGACAGTAATTAAATTACATATTAAATATTTAAATGCGAGTAATTAAATAACTACCTTTGATTTGAACATCCATGGGCAACTAATTTTAATCTTTTTGACATTCTGAAAGACGTCAATAATTGATTCCTCATTTATCATTTGAATGATCATGTCCATTGCACAGAAAGATCCGCTACGGCTTCTACCATCCCTGTTAATGCAAATCAAAGTGGTTTCATTAGAATGTGGACATTAATTAATTATTATTAATTATTTCTATTATTAAACATGACGCCAATAAAAATTGCATTTGAATTTTTAGCGAGTTAAAATACACGATGTTCTCTCTGTAATACTGTACTTTTTTGCTGTTATGCTTCTTTTTCTATTTTAAATACAATTATCAAAGAATCTTGTTCAGTTATGAATGATGTACCCTCTGTATGAGAATACTCACAAGCAATGAATGACCATTATGCTATCGGGATTAATTCGCTGAGCCTTTTCAACATCAGAACGCAATTGAAAGAATGATTCCATGGATGGAGGCTTTTGTAAATCTTTGGGCCAGTCGAGATATTGAAAATGGTGGATTTCCCGTGGTTTTTCATTATCCTTTAAAATAAAAATGTATTATTAGGTTTTATAATAATTTCATCATGTACTTGTCAGATATTGTAGTACGAGAAATTAAAATACGAATTTGTATTGATGAGGAAGGCATGATGGTAATGGCAATGAAAATGGTAATAATGATGGTATTATGGCAATAATGACGGTGAAGGTAATGACGATAGTAATAATAATGAAGCTTAATAAAAAGATCCTCGTACCGTACAACAAACATTATTACCTTTGATAACAGCAATGTTCGTTTTATAACATAATTACATTCTTTTACACTCTCAACTTCAATAGCAAATGGGCCCATCCTCACTTTGACTTTGAGATCAAGGGGAATATACATGCCAATAGTCTAAAAAGAAACAATGATGATAGTTTAATCAGCCTTTGCCTGTTATTGTATTTTTGTGGATAGAGTTGAAATATAAATTAATCAATAACATTAATTACCATTAACATGAGCTAACATTAATTATTTATGCTCTTCGCATAGAACATAGGTTAAAAACCCATCCAATTAACGACCACTTTTCTGAGGTCCCAAATTGATTTAAAAAAAAAAGAGAAACGATAATAGGCAAAGAAAAGAAAAGAAAGACAAGGAAAAGACAGTAAAAAGTAAAAATAATATAAGAAAGGAAAAAGAAAATATAGAAACATAAGCAAGCAAAGGAAAGTCAAGAAACCTACATAAAGGGTATGAGAAAGAAAAGATAGAATTATAAAAAGAAATGAAAAGAAAATATAAGAAAGAAAAAGAAAAAAAAAACGAGAACCTACAAAAAGGTATAAGAATGAAAAGAAACAATTATAAGAAAAGAAAGAAAAGATTAGGAAAAAAATAGAAAGAAAAAGGGAAGAAAAGAATGAAAATAAGAAAACTAAAGGATAGTCAAAGAAACCTATGAAAGGATACAAGACAAAAAAGAAACGAAAGAATTATAAGACAGTAAAGAAAACAAAAGATAAGAAAAGAAGAAACTATAAGAAAAAAAAGAATAGCCAAGGGAAAGAAAAAATGACAAGAAAGAATGATAAAAAGCGAAAGAAAAGATTATATATATATATATATATTTATATATATAATATATATATATATGTACATATATATGAGAAAACATAAAGGAAAAGGAAATAAAAGAAAGCAAGTAAAGAAAGAAACGGAAAGTATAAGAAAAAGGAGTGGAAGAAAAAAAAGGAAAAGGAAATATAAGAAAGTAAAGGTTAAGAAATGTTAAAGGAAGATAATTAAGTAAGAAGGAAAGAAGGTACTGTAGGTAGGAACGGAAAGATAATAAAAGAGTAGGTAACAAAATACACGGTAAGCTAGTAGAATAGTAGAAGGTAGGAACAGGAATGGAAAGATACGGTAGCACAAGAAAAGAAAGTGAAAAGGAAATACTGTAATACGGTAAACTAATTTTAGAAAGACCGAGACGATTGGTTTTTCTTTTTCTATTACTTGTATTATATTTGTATAATGAATGTAATTAAATATATGGTTAAATTATATTAGGCTTAGCATTGTTTGATTTTACTCCGGATTCCCTTTTTGTTTTGTACAGTTGCAACTTGTCAACTATTCAGAACTACATTATTATCATACAATTTTAGATTTGATTTCACTAGGTTTGTCAGCAAGGCAACTACTGTATTGTTATTGTTGGTATTGTTATTTTTATACTTTATCTACCTGCTCATGACAAGTGACTTACCTTGTCATCTGCATCCTCAACGTTCAGCATTACAATTGTGTATAATCTGTAGTCATAGATCATTCTCCAGAAATCAGACACGGTGTTTGTCATCGGCGCCTGTGTCACTAAATATTTATCACCCCGTTGTCCGTAGCCCTAGAAATAACCAAACTTCTTATGTTTACATATGTGTAGTAATCTTAATGAATTAATTTATGGTAAATTTATTGGCAATAAAAGTAATTCAGTAAACATGTTGGTTTTTTCCGATGACCATGGATACAATCCTAATAATGCTTCATAATCCATTTCTTTTTATCTAGTAAACTATTTCAACTACAGTACTCACTTTACAGAATGAAGCATTTATGTAATTGTTTCTATCTCCATCTGTAGTCATTAGTAAGGGTCTTGCATTGTCCACTAAATATAAAAAAAATATACTCTGCATAATTCAGCATTGGAATTAGCTATTACCATTAGTAGGCCTATCATCAGCGTATACTGTAGTTAATCATCTTCTGTGACTGTGTGAGATGTATATTTACGTACTTATATTTCTGTAATGATGTGTTATTTTATTCTTTCACCATATTTCAGATTTTATCACTGTTTGATCTTCCCAGTTTTCTTATATAAATCAAAATGTTGAACGGTGTAAAATTTTGGCAGCGCACTTTTACCATCTATTTTTCTGCTTTATTAGATATATATAATATTTATTTGAAGTGTGACGTATAATATTTGTTATATAACCCTAGTATAAGTTTGAACAGGACTATATAAAAAACAGCCACCTGATATGTTTTAATCCTGTATAAATATGTTTGAAATGAAAAAAAAAATAAAGTAAACACTTTCAGTTGTGTACAATGCTTGTTTTTATCATACTTGGAACTATACGTGGATATCTATTCTTTCCGGAGTTTGCTGGATCATTCGCTGCCTTAGTTTTATCCGGTGTTGGAAGTGGTACGAGGGCATTCAGGGTCTGTTATGCAAAAAAACATAAAAAGTTAAAATATAACATAAATACAATAGAATCAACTGAGGATAATTATGATTCCTGTAATGGTGTTGGAGTGGAGCTGGCCAATGACCCCCACTGGTGTTACCCCTTGACTGTGCTGATAATATCTCCAGTTACTGGCTTAATAGTAATGGGTACGAAATAGTCCTTTCCGAAATGTCAATCAAACTTAACAACTGACCAATCAGAACATCTCTAAGAAAACGAACTACAAACATACGTATGTTTGAAAACGCACTACAAACATACGTATGTTTGAAAACGCACTACAAACATACGTATGTTTGAAAACGCACTACAAACATACGTATGTTTGAAAACGCATACAAACATACGTATGTTTGAAAACGCACTACAAACATACGTATGTTTGAAAACGCACTACAAACATACGTATGTTTGAAAACGCACTACAAACATACGTATTTTTGAAAACGCACTACAAACATACGTATGTTTGAAAACGCACTACAAACATACGTATGTTTGTGCTTTTTTGTGGGACATTAGCAACAATATATAGCGGAAAGGTCCATTGAAACATATCCTTCCAATATGGTGTCAAAATACAGTAATACTATATCAAGCTCTTAATATTGGATTTGAAATAATGTGTAAGTGCATGTATACAGCGGTGGTGCCAGAACTTCGCTGACAAGGGGTCCGACGGCCTAGAATAAAAACTCCCTTGTAGGGTTCACGGGTATAGTTTTTATGGCTTATACAGTCCAAAATGTGCTTTTAGACCATAATATTAGGAAATTGTAGTCAAAACAACGTTATTTAGATAGGCAAGTTATTTTCCCCCCATTTTTGATCTGACGGCCTCGTTGTGCATCGGACTAAAGGGCGTCTAGTCTTGTCCCCCAGCCCCACCACTGCATGTTTACACACCTAGATTTGCTTGCTTGCAATGATCCATTATTACTTAATGAATAAACATTAAAGAGTGAGCGCTACCCACGTTGAGCTGTTCTTGCATAATGGTCTTGCCCATTTGACTCTTCATCCCTTTGATTTTCGTAAAGGATTCTGTAAATGATTCTGAAGGTATGTGTGTAGGTTCACAAAAAAAACATTCCAAAATAGCCTCATAGATAAATATATACTGATCCTGAAATAAGAAATGCTCTAGTTAGAACCATGGTCAAAGATATTATTATAAACAAAATATTTTCAGTTTTTGTTATACAAGACCATCATTGTTCTATTTTAGAATACAGGTCTCCTTCTAAGACTTTAGCAGCTTGGGTCCAAATTCAATAATAAAGCTAAAAGACTTGTAATGTAACATGTAACCACAGAAATAATAATACTGTAGGCATAATATAGAAATTTAAATAGCGCCTTTTGCCAAAGGATACAAGGCGCTAAGAAAAAGGTTTATTGTAAGAAAAAGGATTATTTAGGAAATAAGTGTGCTTTTCTTTTTTAAAGACTTCAGTACTACAAGCATTTCGGATGAAAACGGGAAGATTATTCCACAATTTTGGAGCAGAGGAAAAGAAAGATTTATCACCAACAAGTTGGTTGGATTTGGGAACAAAAAGACAGGAACCAGAAACAGAAAGGAGAGAATAGGTAGAAGTTAAGAAAATTGACAGGCAGGAGATATAACTAGGATTGAAGACAATGACAATGTTTGGATCTGCAACATACAAGGCGAGCACACTTATTTTGAAGTTTCTGAATACAACCTAAATTATATTTACTGATACCATAAAGTAGTGAGATTCAGTAATGAAGCCTGGAGAGTAATTGAGCACGAACTACATTATGACAGGTTTCAAATTCAAGAAAAGTGGTCTTTAATTGGAGGTAGTCTTTATTGGAGGGGGTCCTTAATTATTGTAGTAGTAGTAGTTCTTAATTGCATTTTGATGTTTTCCAATATCGTGTGATAATTACCCTAGCGGCAACAGTGGCGGTGCTAGAGGGAGGAGGATTCCCAGTAGTTGAAATTATGAGCGATTCTTAAAAAATATTTTAAACCGTTAGTATCAAATCCTGGCCTGAACTTTATAGGCCTATATAAAAAATAATGTTTTGGATGCCGATGAAATATTAATTAAAAAAAACACCATCAACCGACATGTTGTCTTTTACAAAGTCTGTAGGCTACCATTATCGCTACAACCTAGAAGTGTTTTTCAGAGCAGCTAAAATAATTACAAAAGTAAGAAAATATGACTCAAGTACACAAGCCCTGTAAAACTTGAACTGGAATAAACTTGAAGACCAATTGTATTGAAATGAGGCTATTACATTGTATAAGATATTCCATAATCAAGCACCACCATACATTATTTACTCCTAAGGAAGAAAAATACCATACAAGATCTAATGATGTCTTGTGCTTGGAAAAACCCAAATCGGAGTACAAAAACCGAAGTTTTTCATATCGTGGTGCCAAATTATGGAATAGTCTTGAAAGTGCAGTTCAAAATGCACCAAATGTTTATTCATTTAAACAGTTATTACCCAGTGGTGTAAGTTTTTGAATTTGTTTGTTTACTTTTATAAAAATTGTTTGGTAAAAGGTGTTTCTTTTTAGTATTTTATCAATATCACAGCCTTGTAGAAGAACACCTTCGGGTGATACAAGCTTTTCAGTGCAAGCCTTTATTATTTTTACTGTATTATTATTATTTAGCATTACCGAACAACTTTCTTAGGTCAAGATGCCCTGTAAGAGCATCTAGTGGTGTACCGGTGGTATTATTTCCAAATATTTTCTCATTTAGGAGGGGAACCCCCTCCAAACACTCCCTGGCTCAGGCCTCGCGTGGCGCAAGGAGCCAAAGTAAAACTCTAGCACTGCTGTCGTAGAAATCCTAGCTCTGCCACTGGTCCACAACATAAACTAAATAAACAATTATGAAATTAGATAAATCAAAAATTGACGTGATTCTATATAATTATTATGTAGAATCTATGCTGATGATGGTATAGGTTGATGATACCTTGGTTTGCACCATGTTAAACCGATTATTTCTCATGACTTTCACAAAGTTAAAAACGTCGATCTCTCTCTTCTCCTTGGCCATGTCCAACATTACATCAATTGTGATCACAGTTCCAGTTCTTCCAACTCCAGCACTTCAATTAGAAAGTGTTTATTAATATACTCAAAAGTAAACATAAGTTAAAAAGTAACTTTTATCTCTAGGTTATTTTGTTAAATGTTTAAATAGCATGGTTTAAGGATTTTAAATGCAATTAAGAGATATACCATTTTTAATAATGTTGTTGTGACTTCAAAACAAGAAACCAATATTACCTGCAATGAACTATAATTGGTCCAGTATCAGCGGAAAGAATTTTCTTAGAGTTTTTTATTCGGTAAACGAACTCCAGCAAAGGAGCTGGTGAGGCTGGCACGTCCATATCAGGCCATGCAGTAAAATGGTATTGTAGTACATGACGTATTTCTGCCTCTTCACCTGCTCCCTAAATTATTTAAACAAGGTAATTGAACTAAAATGTATTGAAAAGAGTGGAAACGTGCGATATAGATAAGATAAGATAACTTTATTATAAGTCAATCGTGATGTCATCACTGTAACTCCCAATGTTATTTGCCTATTCCCTAGCGTCCACTAATTTTTCTATTAGTGGACGCTTGGCTTGATTTTTTTTTAGGTTCGTGTGGAAAAAAAAAAATCTCATTTATTTGTCACCACGAATGATAGAGCTATTAAACAACTAGAGTGCTGACAAGACGGCGCAGCAATGCATGTGTACCATCCAAGATGGCCGTCGTAGTAAAGCGCCACCTTCAGGCTTAGTATACATATTATTACCATAGAGCTATTAAAAAACTAGAGTGCTGACAAGATGGCGAAGCAATGCAGAGTTATGTATGTGTACCATCCAAGATGGCTACCGTAGGAAAGCGCCACCTTCAGGCTTAGTATACATATTATTACCATAAATAAGCCCTCTGACTATTATTTCATTTAATGATAATTAGTATTGATAATAACAAATTATTAAACTATCGTAGCCAAAAGAGGCCAAGTAGAGCATCTTATTCAAAAATAAAATAAATAAAATCGTATACATTCACCCATTCACCGCAACGCTCGAGTTTCAAACATACGGGTAACTAGCTGTACTGAACTTTCGGTGTAAATTGATAGTGCTTAGGCGAAATTTGATTGGCTGAATCTATGGCAGCCATCTTGGATGGTACACACACACAGAGTTCTGCGTATTTCGGACATCGAATACATTGCGGTTAGCGCGCTAGTATTCTTATTATATCTCTATGCCACGAATACATCGTGCACCGCGATAAAAAATGAATTGAATGACTCAAGGAACAAGTTTACATGCAGGCCTACGGCCAGGCAGAAGGCCGCCCCCTACCGTACTACTAGGCCGTAGCAAAGATCTTATAAACACAAGATAGCGTTCTCCGCGATTTACGCGTAACAAATAGAAGCGTCGGTCAAGGTTCAAAAGTTTCCAATTTAGCAAGAGGGCGCCATTCATGCGC